TCGTGAAAAGTAATAGGCATCTATTGTTTGAGAGTGTGCCCCTGTATGTGAACTAAATCGTACGATACTGTTTTAATTGATTGACAGCAAATTTGCAAAAAGAAAGAGGCCTTAATAGCTGGAAGGATACAGCATGTTGAGGTTAATTGGTTTGTGTTTTTAATTGGGAAACAGCTAAAATTTGACAGTAATCAAGCTCTTACATTTGTTTGGACACTGACAATGCTAGCCTCCATAGCAGGCTTATAGAACTGGGGGTTTAGTAGTCTTTGGCTGTTTTCTGATTAGCCCAGTTCTCCAAACGGGGGTATTTCAACCAAGCCGGCTATGTTTTCTAATATGCAATCAGAAAATAGCACATAAAAGCTCCCAAAGACTATGAAGACCCCCCAAAAACCCCAGTTTTTGGCATGCTATGGAGGCTAGAAAGTGCTACTTCTGAAAGAAATCTTTAAAAAGCACAACTCAGGCTTGGATATTCATTTTTTTTGGAACAGAAATTTGATATGTTGGTTCTGAAAGTTTTGCAAAAAATCAATGGAGCTAGTGGGAAATAAAAACAGGCCCTGGTATAGGAGGCACTAAGGCTGGTTTGTAATTCAGACAATTTTGAATTAAATGAAACAACTGCATTCATTTGATAAATGTAAAAACTGTAAAAACTAGACAAAGATTTAAATATTAACATTTTGGTGCTGAAAGGTACAATCATGTTTTGTGCATGTGACTGTGTGTTTATTTGTTTTTGTGTCTGCAAATAAAAAAAAGAAGCAGGCAAATAAGAACCAACTCACTCACTCACTCACTGTCCGGTTTATCGTCTACCAAATATATATATATATATGCCTTACTTTAAAGGCATTTAGTGCAGCTTTTAAGGCTTGGAAACCAGAAGTCAACATTCTAGCCAATTACATACATACTAAGGTAAAACAACACTATCCCAATGTATTTCAACACTCATGGAGCAAAAATGCCCATAATTCTGACTAAAAATAGTTACTGGAAGGACCTGGATTGATTCTTAGGGTACCTCCCTGAAAATAAAGGATTTTATCCTGGGGCTTGTTTCTGCAGTTTTAAATGCATAAAGTATGAAATAATGATTCAAATGTGCTATTGTGGGATAGTATGAGTCAATATTATACAGATTGCCTTATTCAGAATATTTCCAGTTTTGCCTCCCTAAAATTGCATGGGAATGCCTTTAAGTCTCTTTCACCAATTGGCGATCTCTGTGTCGGTCACTGGACAATTGTGCAAGCAACTCAGCTCTCTATTTGTCCACCTGTACACTTGAATGAACCTGTTTAACTTTGTTTACGTTACAGGCAGTGCCTGGGGTACACAGACCAATTTCTTCTCACACCTATATATATATCAGAACATTACTTGAATTGGGTATGCGTGGCGCGTGGGAATGACATTTTAAAGATGTCAACTTTGAGGAAAATGAGAAAAAAACACCCCCACGTGTTTATGAATACCTATTCCCAGGTAAACAGTGACTCGGTGAGTATCACATACCCTCGTAGATTGTTTTTTATACCCATCCCAGTTCTAGGGACACATTATAAAGCCTTGCACTAGCAATGGTTAGGCCATACCAATTTAATTTCTTGGTTAACAGATTCGCCCGCTTCATTTTTTTCTGATTTGCAAATAAAAATAAAAATTCAGAATCAACTGCAAAATGTTCATATTGTGCCTGAACAGTTGAAAACAGTCCTTTTCATCCTACTTGTTACAGTTATTCCATCTTTCAATGCAATGGTATTGTTAAAAGTTCAAAATTCATTGTTTAGATTTTGAACCAGCCTGGTGTGTTGACTTCATGGCTCCTATCGTACCATTTTTGGGCCATAATAGGATGCCTAGGCCTGTTTTTATTTTTTATTTTTGCCTGCCCGCTCCATTTTTTTTCTAGAAAAATCCGTTAACCAAGAAATTAAATTGGTGTGGCCTTAGATAGAGTTGTATAGCCACAAGCTTTTGCAAAGAGCCCCTGACAGTGAGAGAGGCATGGGAAAAAAATGTTGTGTTTCTTGTTTCAGTCCTGAAAAAAATTGTGTCAGGAGGTAGGGATTATATATTTTTCCTTCTTTTTTTAGACTTTGACCATCTCTCATGATTCAACTTATACAATACAGTATTTTAACAAAGTAAGAATTGTATGAGGACACTTGTATTTTTAATGTCATTGTTACAAAACTGTTTGTACAATGTTTCATCATTTGGGTGTCAGATCATGGAGCTAGAAAAGGTCGATCAGTTTTTTTAAAAATTCATGTCCCTTGCAGGGGTCCACACAAAAAAGGCTAGGGTCGGCAGTTTTTTCTAGGGTCGGTCGGGAAACAGGAAACACAACATCTAGACCTGATTACTGCTGTGTACCAGTTCACTGGACCGGTTCTAGACTTGTAAAAATGTTTAGGTTCAAGTAAAAAGCATATCACATACCCCTTTTCTTTCCAAACCACCTAAAACCTTCCATAGATTGCAAAATCTGTGCTGCAAAATGAAGAAAACATTTCCATCGAGCATCGTCAAGTGTCGGCCTCCATGTTATGTGGCCACAGTTTTGCCCAGACAACATTGCAAGGTTGCCAACATACAATTTTGTATATGCCATGGGTTTAGGTCCGGACTTACGAGTCCGGAACTGAACCTAAACCTCTGGACTTGAATCCGGACCTGAACCTAAATGTGGGTTTAGGTACACAGCACTAGGTCTGATTGTGTAACACAGCATACAAAATACCCACTCACACCAGTCTCAGCACCACTTGCAATCATAGCCTATTCATAACACACAATACACCCTCTGAGATGATTTATAAAGACCCTAATGGCCAACTTAATAGCTTCTCTTCAATGCTTAAGTGTTTGAATTGAAGTCTTTATGCTAGTTTGTGATGTTGACAATGTGCTCTTTATGAATGTATTTTCATATGGGTCGATACAAGAAAATACCAAATGACCAAAGGTTCTGTCCATTTTGTCCGAACATGATTGAAAATGAGCACCATTTTAAAATGGATTGTACACTATACAATGATAAGCGCCTATTGCTGTTCACCTTTCTTTCCGCTTGTTCAATTGATTTCAATACGTTAGATCCTATAGATAAATTCAATTACATTCTCAGGGGAGATAACCAGTACCGTGTTCAAATAGGAAAATACATTAAAGAATGTTTCAATCTTAGAGACCACATAGAGAATACCACACATCATACATATACTCTGTACAATGACGTTATCTACACATGTATTTAGCTTTGTTAGATCTTTAGTTGTAGAAGACCATACAAAAGTCCCTGTACTTTTTTGTTGTGTAAATAAAGAATCTGTTTATGTGATATTTAATTGATGGCTATTCATTGCTTTGTGTAAACAGATAATACTGTACATTTAGGCCACAGCACGTAAATTTTATGGATGACATCCTCTGCAGACTCCAAATCTAATGCGAGGCCACACCAATTTAATTTCTTGGTTAACGGATTCGCCGCTTCATTTTTTTCAGATTTGCAAATAAAAATAAAAATCCAGAATCAACTGCAAAATGCTCACATTTTGCCC